AAAGAAGGGATTTTTAGTGTCTACACCATTGTAATTTTTGCATGACAGCATTTAAACACGCTTTTAAGGGAATAGTGAGTGGTCAAAAATATGAACTATTTTTATGGGCATGCTAGGAATGAACCTTTTCCTCTCACATTTAAGTACGAGACTCGAATTTCTAATACACCCATACAGCTATGTTGCAAATGTGTGAAATAAATAGTAAGCAACAAAACGCTCTGCACGTAAACCACATAGAACAAACCCTACAATTTTCTTCACTCGTTTCATTATGAAAAATCAATAGGGGGTATGCTTATCTGCTTGGCAATGGCATGTATACAATTAAGTCTGTGCACTGTACACTATACGCCGCCCCGCAAATGACGTCACATGGTAGCCGCGAGGTGGTGTGCGGTGTGTGTGGAGGACCGTCGTCGTCACAGTCGCGCCTGCGTCGCTCTACTCGTCGGATCTATCCTTACCGTGACGTCACTTCGACCGCCGCGCAGTCATGTGGCGATCGGTGTAACCACGCCCGCACCCCATGTTAACACTATTATATACATATTTTGATTTTCGCAAACATTCTAGTGTTCCTGTGTTCATATAGTGTTAATATCAGTGCCGCCGTATACCAAACAGTCGTAGTGCCGGTTATTCGCACACTATTTTTAGCCGCGTGTTCAAATCCGTCCCGCCGCCGCTGCAAGTGTGTGAGTGATAGTGAGTGTGTGTTAGTGACAGACTTTGCGCATGCGCGACGATGATAATTTGAGCGCGCGACTTGTTAGATAACAAGAGTTTCTAGAATGTCTCAGAGACTTGCGAAATCAGCGTGCGCTTTTGTTACGTCATGGTGTTTGTAATTGACGAGTTTGCGAATTCGTTTTACAAATGTTTATCTATATCAATGAATTATACGATTAGGCTATAAACATTAGTCAAGAAATAATGTTCATGAGCTCTTGACTAATGAAGAACAAAATAAAGTTAGAGTTTTTAATTTATGTTGCAAACAAGGAAACACATTATACTGTTTCGACGATTGATCTAAAAAAAACTGTCAATTAACGATAACTTGTGACTTAAAACAGGAGACGCTTTGTCAAATTCACGCAGGCCTAGGTTTTAGTGATGCATTATCCTCAGATTGCAAAAACTTCGCAGTTTTATGACGATACATCCTGAATATATACAAATCTAGCAGTATTATATCCACATTTTTCTAAATATCGTAATTGGAATATGTAGGAAATCAATTTTGATACTAACACAACTTTAAGAATTATATCTAAGAACACAGACGATGAGTAATCTAGAATTTGATTCCTAATGTATCTCTGAAAATGTAAAGGTATCGTCGATTCTGTTGGTGTTCTTAATAATTTTCGATTAGTTAAATGTTACTGATATTTTAGCCGGTTGTGGCGGATGGACCACGACCTTGACATTTAAAGGCCGAGCTTTGTAGCCCCGAGTCGATAACTGTGCATCCTCACCCCCTCACTCCCTCGCCTAGCAGAGTTATATTTCACCCTCATCCCCCGCCTCATTTGGCCCTCCACTTATGTTCCTACTTTACCTTTACTCTCTACAAAGAATGCTTTTGATCTTTAATACATCCTTGGAATGTACATTGTCCAGCACACAGTTTACTTTGCTAATATTGATAGTTGAGGCAAAAAAATCGTTGAATAGGCTAGAATATACTTTCAGATTTGTTATATACGATTTAATAGGTCGAATTACATTTTGTAATAAAATTATTGCGCGCACTATTTACTTGTTAAAATGTTACATAGCCTACATAATTTTTACCTTGTTACAAAGCCGGGGCATTAAAAAATCATTTGCTAGACTAAATGGTTTTGTCTATTTTACTCTTTGCGTTTGATGAGAAGGTATTCTTAATTAATGTAGTATAGTTTTAAAACTAAACTAAAACGTTTACCTATATATTTTACCGCATAAACTTGATTAAAGACCTAAAATTGTTATATAAATATGTTGCTAAGCTTTAAATTGATATAAACTATGTGTAAATTCGTTCCTTTAAATCTTGTCGTGTAAAAATCTCTGTAATTTAAAAATACCAGGAGTAGCGTGATTGGTAAATGACCGTAGATGTTGCATCATCCCAGTCTATCGACTCGACCTGGGAGCGAAACTTAGTTGTTCAGTGTTGGCTCAAATTGTTTTGTTCCTTTTGTTTCAGTGGTTTTCGTACTTATTCGGACTTAATATTGCCTAAGATGTAATAAATGTAACGGTTTTTAAAATTAACATTTTCCACATTTTAAAATAAACTCAATTAATTCAACCTAAAGAATGTTATTTTGTATATGCTAACTATTCAAAATTCGAACTCATCCGTATATGATTACAGTCTAATTGTTGACTAACGACAGTCGATTATGCAAGACGTTTTCCATTGCAACTTAAATTGGCCACGTTTGGAGAACGCATATTCATTCGTATGAAAACTGAAAAAGGGGTTCCAAGTTTCAAGTTACACTGGACTGTTTGTGTACTGTAAATCGCTAACTACTTCGTATGTAATACGTTCTCTTTTGTGTTGTGAATTTCTTCAGTATCTTTTCTGTTACGTATGTTGTAAGATGTCGTGTTGAAAGTGTTCCAATGTCGATTATACTTGGCTGAAGGTGTAATAATTTATTTCTGAAAGAAATCGCGTCTGTTTTATTTTCGCACGGCTAGCATGACCGACCCCAACTATAAATATCAACACCCGCAGCTCAGTCTTTGGCCGTGTTTTCACAATGTTAACTCTCAAAATAAATATGTAAATCATTTAATCATTTCTATTTTTTTTAATAAACACTTAAATACACTAGTTTTAACTCGAGTTCACGTTCACTTGAGCCTATAAATGAACAAAACTTTAGCCTCTGACGTAAAACCTTGACACTACCAACCTTTTTGTGATGTAATGCTATAATTTACCATTCTTACAGTTAAAATGTAATAGTTAATCAATTTTATTTTATGTTATGGTAAAAGAAATTAAGATTCAGTAAAGTATTGGAATGAACCATGTTTTACTACAAAATTATCTACTCGTTCACCTATTGTACGATGCGTGTTTATATGTATCTTAAGTAACAGATTAAAAATTTTCGTAACAATTTTACCGTAATATTTATTTTAGTTAGTAATACTATGTGACTGATATTTCTTGAAATTTTCCGTCGAAGTGAAAAATATGTTGTGGTAATTTAATATTATCCACTTAAGTAAAAAACCGTTTGGTGTATAAGATGTCGGAACCTGAGGTTGGATGCTATAAAAGTGTACCTTTTGTTTGTTTGTTTGTAGTTCATTGCAATCTGACAAACGTTGGTTGAGCTAAGTTTTGGTTTTACAAACCTAATGCTACTGATCGTAGATCAAAATTGTATTAGAAACATGTCCAGCATAATAATTCAACATTTCTGACTCTATAAAGGTTCAATTAATTATATAATACTTGAAATGCGAGTATACTTTATGCACTGCACTATAGTACTCTGTACATGATGGTGAAACAATATACACTTAAATCACAAGTAGGCACTTCGCCTTAGCGCCTGTTCTCGTTCCAACTTTCATCTTTGCAGGTGATTAGATGCAGTCTAATTTTGGAAGAAAATCTTACTTAGCAGCTTAAACAGAATGTCCAGTGTGGGCGTCTAAGCTGACTGTGAAATGTTGAAACATCAGCTGTAGGATATTTTGATTGTGTGACGATGACGTTGTGTGACAATGACGTTGTGTGACAATGACGTTGTGTGACAATGACGTTGTGTGACAATGACGTTGTGTGACGATGACGTTGTGTGACAATGACGTTGTGTGACGATGACGTCGCGTTACGGTGAGGTTGTGTATCGTGACGTCAGGTAACGTGTAATCATGCAGTGGCGTCAGAAACGCCGCGTTTTGTGCGTGATCGGGTCAGCGAATCACCCTCTTCTACTCAGACACTTGGACTACCATAAACATGGTTTGTGAGCTAACAAGTATTTTTTCATTAAGTTCTTACTTCTAATTGTTGTTTCCCTTCTAATTATCACCCTAGTGTGGGAAATACATTGTCTAAGCTATAATTTAAACGTGTTGGCTGTTTGTGAATGACTAGTTTTGGTGACGTAGGTAAAAGTGGAATTTCTACTTTTACGATGAAAGCGTGGACTATTTTTGACAATGATTATGAGTTACAAAATCATCCAATAACAATCTTAATGCTAGGTTATATATGTTTTAATCATGTGCAATCTGTGATAAGTTAAAGAAAAAAAAAATGATCAGTATACTTGCACCGCTAATAAAAAGTAAATTAATTAGAAACTTTATCCTCGTAACCGTCAACAATAACGGTTTAATTAGTGTAATCGATTTCCCCAAACTTGTGAAAGAAATATAATTTGTTGATTAGAACTAATTAGTTGGCTCTATCCAACTATTCCACGCCGCACTGTTAACAAAAACCACTTTTGCAGTGTAGATATTAGAAATAATGGTTTTTTACAGGTCAATGACTTCATTAGAGGATAAGTTAATTAAGATTTTATTTGTTGCCCATATTGTGTACTCTTTTGTATTTTTCGTTGAGCTTAAAACGATATTTAAGCTGCGGTAGTGGTCTGGGTATTGTAATAAATTAATTATTGCAATACCATGCTTTTCTTTTATTTGAGATATTTTATACGGACTCTTAAAACACAAGATTCTATGAATTATAATGTAACCCCACGCAACGTAACCTCATTCAATAGAGAACTAATCCTAAAACCTACCCTAAATGAAATATATTTGACTAAGTCCTTGAAATACAAATTCTATATTCACAAGTTTAAACGCCATTGTCGCCCCTCTCAATCGTATTTGTTTTCTTGTATGACCATTTCATCAATTCTTGTTGATTTCTTGTTTAACTGAAACCATCCCCATAGAGTTGTTGTTAGGTGTTGTCCCTTGCGCAGTATATATTTTAACCCTTGTCTGTCTGTCTGCAGGCACAGACGAGGAGAGTGGGCTGACACTGGATGCGCCCACACCATCCTCCGACCAGCACCGTCACCGCGTCACATTCAACGAGGGTGAGTATAGTAGCAGTAGCTGAGTAGGAGGTTGTCGGTTCGATCCTGGATCTAGCTGTATTGATTGCTGGAATCTTAATAAAACAATCAGTTATCTTAGTCAGCTACTAAGCAACACAAGGCACTCTATTTTACAATCGTCCCTCTCATACTCAGGATAAAATGGCGGCACTGTGTTCCTGTATATGCAATGATTGTGACAGTTATATACATGCACAGGAGTACATACACATAAAACATACTGTCCGTCACCAAAGTTTCAAGTCGGAGACTTATAAACCCGGTTTTTCTTTTTGTTTGTTCTTCGTGACTTCTTAATTTTTTCCTGGACACTCTTTTATGTAATCGCCAACATACCTCCCCCCTCACCTTGCATTTAGGTACTAGAATAATTGGAATTTGTTCTTCCTTTTTTGAGTTCTTTAGTAGTTACCGTAGTTCTTGTATTTAAAGAATATCCTAATTACATTGGTTTGGTCGCAGTGGGGAATGGCTAGGATGGATCGAAGGATGCAGAACGGTTTTTTAGAATTGTAATTGAAAGAAAATAACATTTTTGTAAAGTAAAAATAACAAATAGCATTTATACTACTTTTTTATAAAGCATATAAAATGTCATTGGGATCAAATTCGTTCCCCTTAGCTTTGTCTTTTTACGCCAATTGTTTTAAAGTTTGTAACAAACTTAATACATTTATGCATAAAAATAAGCAATGGCGACAAATTAAATGGATATTTAAATACACTTAAAAGCCGCTGGAAAACAACTGAATAATCGTAAACAAATGCTTGTAATACCAAAACACCCGCAGAATTGCACTGGACGTCGCTGCAGATTGTAGAGTGTAGAGAAAGCACGGCGCTCGGGTAGGCAATCGAGGTACACAACAAGTAATAGATCCAAGGCTGTATAGAAACGGTTGCACGCGCAGAACCAGTTACTCTCCTGAGCCGAATAACAGGTCAACTGTTACCTGTCACCTCCCATTGTGTAGTAATTAACGTCTTAATGGACATTCCTTCTCTGAACCCCCGCAGGTCGTTACAAAGTCGAAGGTTCATTTGCCTTGCAAAATGATCTTGTAAATAATTTAGTGAGTTAAAAATCCTTTGTGTTGGGTCCTCTTTTGACACTAATGAGCTGTAGATTGGAACGCTCAAACTTATTTTAGTAAATAATGCTAATATCACTATTTATTTTTTTTTTAAATTACGATTTCAACAATATACATTCATGAAAATACTAGAAAGCATACTGATCTATACCATAAACTTTGAAATGAAACTTACAAATTATTAAAAAAATATTATTCCGTGAATAAAAATCTGTGACGCTTGTAAATCACATTGGGTACGATTTGGGTATGTTAAATAATATAATAATACAAAAGATTAACTGAGTGTACTTCGATTTGAAGTGAAATATAGACAGACATTTCTTTAAACAATTTTATTTTATTTTATAATTTAACCACCTAATAAGGTAGTAATGGACTTGGTGTATGTATTGTAAGATATCTGCAATGTAAGTGAAGAAGGGATTGAAATATCATTTGTAGTTTTGTCACTGCCTAAAATAAGCAGGCCCAATGGGCAAGGATAGCTAGGTGCAGTTTTAGATTTATAGCCTACAAGACATTGTTCAGCAGATGCCGTTTTCCCTAAATAGAGCCCACAATTCCGCGGGTCTGGTGCATTTAGAAAATGCCAACAAGACGGGCCAAAGTGGTTGTATATATTTTATTTGGCATTGATTAAACACGGTTTAAACCGTTTAGCTGGCAGTCTTTAATTAGCCAGGTCGTAGGGTTGATGTTGACATTCTTGGTGTAGTGCCATCGCTGTAGATGGATGTGGATTCTCTTACTATGTAACATCAAAGTTTATGCCTACTAACTGTGAACTTGTTCAATCCCACTATTCAACACAGTTACTGATGAATCGATACACTATACTTCAATAACAAATGTTGACATCAGGGGTGGCGCTGGATTCGTGAAATTAGTGAATATCAAAAAGTAATCTTTGAACGTTAGGCCTATGGTGTTTTTCACTAGTTGGACAAACTATATACTCATAGCGAACCCATTCTGAAATACACAGAAGCGTATAGTGCAACTTTTGTTCATCTTCTAACAGTAATTTCAAACATGGTTTCCGTCAAAATCTGGACTCAAACAATCCACCGTTTTACAATGTTATAAATCAATTTTACTTGAGAATATCTTCTGATTGGTTAAAATATTATTGCTCGAGATATTTCTTTTAAATCAAGCAAGGAAATAAAACAGTTACTGTATGTTCATGTGGACGTAAAAATGTTTTTCACCACTTGTCAAGTACTAAAAGTTGGTTCGGAATGCATTCGACTATATTCTGTTTTCTAGTTTGAAATAGTCCAAAATTTATTGTAAGTAGTTTTCAAAAAATTTCTTTCTAAAAAAAGTTTGTGATTTATTTTTGATGTTTATTAATTATTTTTGCTCTAAAAGAGGGGTTTTGGATAATAATTGTCATAATATGTAAGTGGGCCTTGGAAATACTATATTTTAATATTTAGTGTTATTTTAAATATTTCATTTGTTTTGTAACAATGCTATGTGGATTTAGTAACCACTACAATTATGAATTTAAACTGTGGAGAATACTCAGCTTAACCATTCTCATAGGTCTTCTCGATAAAAAATTATACTTAATTTGGACGCTTCCATTTGGGGTAGAGCCAAATAGCTAATTTAAAAGGATTAGATGCAGTCTGCACAAGTAAAGTGAGTAACATAATTCGACTTCAGTTAAATTGGCTGTCTCTGTTGTGGTAAGCGTAAATTTTGTTAAACCAAAATATCTCTTTTTCTTTGTATTTTTCAAGGATTGTGTAAAAGTCCACGAAGCGTATGCTGGAAATTAATTCATCTCGGGCTGGAAAGTTTTATCAGTACTATCGTCGGTTGTTCATAAGTTAGCCGCTAGCACCTCACGACTCTGAAGAGTTATGGAGTTAAAAGTTTTAACTTTACTTGAAACTTCTTTCAGACACTAAGGTTAAGTTTTGCCTTTCAAACTCCGTGATCAGCGATGCCTTGTGGTTATAAAGCATTTAAGACCAACTAGTGTCCCTGTTGCTCGAATTCGAGCAATTGCTAAGTATTAAAGGCGATATTTTAAAACCAATAACAGTCATAATTTCTGATGACTTTAAAAGATTCGACTCAAAGATTATGGAAATACTCAAGATGTACATGACAGATCGATATAATCAACATTTCATGTAAATATCTTATAATTTTTCAAAGGCTGATAATTATCTAGTTTTTAGTGTTTTCTATAAGACATTGTTTTCTACAAATAGCCGAACTAGGTTGTCCATAATAACAATAATAAGTAAAAAAAAAACTTAATATAAACTAAAAATTATTTATATTTCTTCTCCTTGGTGGTGTTCTTTGACTTTCCTATGGTTCCAAGAAATCGGCTCTTTCGATGATTATTAAGAAATAAAGCACAGTGTTAATTCAGTTTTATTTTTAGTATATCAATTTATCCAGGCTCTCTCGCTTTTTCCATTGTAATATTTACAAATTGAAATCTATACTATTATAAAGAAGAGGTGGTGTCTGTGTGTGTGTCTGTGTGTGTGTTTGTATGAAATAATCTCAAAAACTACAGATCTGACTGGGCCCAAATTGCACACAAATGAAGCTACAGCTCCGAGGATACATATAGAACTATTCCCGCTTCGATATTGTCCTAGGGCTCTGCCCCGTGGGCTTTTAAAAATTTGAGGTGAGAGATTTAAAAGTAAATATTGATTGACGGTATCCATGGTAACAAAGAACAAACCTACATAGTTTAAAAATGTAAACAAGCAGAACTAACTGTCATATGAATTTGGCACGTTTCCGTCTGTGCGTTACACTGTAAAGTTATTTAACATACAAGAGGTAACCATAAGGTCATGTTCATTTAATGCCCACATGATATCAGTTTAATAAATACTACTACAGTGTTAAGTGTGCTTAGAAGATACCAGTCTACGGCTGTCTGTAGGTTGTCTGTTCTATAGTTCTGTAGTTGGTCTTTGGCTCTACTCCAGCTGTTCATAACGAGCACTTGCCAACATTTGTCTCTCTACCCTCCCCTCTTCATCCCCTCTCGCTGGTATTTCTCTAATATCTTCCGTCTCACATTTCTACTTCTCTCACCTCCCGCCTCTCGGCGTCTGTCATATGTTATATTGTTGTTCTTTTCGTTTGACAATCGGTTGCGACGATGAGTGTTTTATTTGTTTTGTATTATACGCACAATTTGACTTTGTTCTTTTCCTGTCGTTGGCTAATTAGTGTTGGACTATTGTTGTCGCCTGTGAAGAGTTTTTAATTTTGTTATTTATGAGATTAATTTCGAAATTTTACTTCCATTTTTGTTTTAATGAGCCAGTAGTTTGGTCAGTAAGTCAACTAACTAGCATTTGATTTGACTAGCATTTTGACTAAACATTTGATCGGTTTAGCTAAATGTTTTAAGATTAAAATCGACTTTCCACTATCATCACTGTGTGAAACGAAGAGATACTGAAACACCTAGATATACTTGCTGATAAAACATGCAGCTTTCATTGCAAAGATTGTCGAATTTTTTAAACGACCTGAAATTTTATTAAACTACATTACAACATTATAACCATAACAGATATTGAACTCGTTTTTAATATAAACAACCATTCCGCAAATACCGATGTACCTACAGAGAGATAACACTGCACGGGTGGTGAGCAGATGAGCAGATGGACAAGACGTGTATGTGTGGACCCCATATGTTGTGTGTGTGTGGGGGGGGGGGTGGGGGGGACGTCAGTCAAAGTCAGTGTCACTCATCATAATTTGACATCCGACCAGCTTCAGTTTCAACCCCACCGAGAGTTGTTTTTCAGTTGGGCGACATAAGTTGTGAGATTTGTCAAAATTGACAAAAAGTCCTAGTGACTGACTGATCATCCATTT